TTAATATTGCTATATAGCTTTAATTTATGCTTAATTACTCTTACAGCTTGTGATTTAATGAAGATGTCTTAAGTTAAGACGAAACGTTACTAAATCTTTATTACAAATTTTAAAATTAATTGTTTATGGCTCTTTTAACTGGCCTTTAATACACTTTGCTGGGCTTTAATATTTATTATTAGGATACAAAACATGACAACGGGATAGTTTTCGCTATTTGTTTGAAGTGAAAGTTTCGGAGTTTTAAATGCGTGTAAAATTGTCCGTGAATATGTTTGACACAGTAAAATAATAAAGAAATCCTACCTTTCAAGTTAAATACAACACTGATTTTGTGCTTCTTTCGTTTTATGGGGACGATTTTTTTCAATAATTTGTCGATTATGAAACCAAATTTGCCGAACTATTCTTTTTGAAATTAAAAGCATTATTTACTACTCAGGTGATAAATAATGACTCAGATTTACTAGTCAACTAGCCAATCAGAACGCGTGAAAACTCATTTGATAGGCAAAATTTATTTATTTTATTATATATATAATATATTTTCTTACTGTTATTTCTACATGAATGTGTCGTGTTATCAAGCCGTTCACTTATGATTACAATTTACGGCAATTTACAATAGACTCGCTGTTGGCTCCTAGGTAAATGTTCTTTGCTTGTACTTGAGTATTACAAATTCCTTTCCTCGTGCTTCTCTGCGGTTTTCCCAATATGAAACTAGATCTTGCGTAGCGATGTCGCACTGAATGCAATCCACAGAGAATACATATACAAAAAGACATCTCACCCATTGATTTTGCAACACAAGCTCTTGCTACTCATTAAAGTTCCATGGCTTAATTTGTTAAAATATTAATTAATATCGGCAGCTAGATCGGTCAATCAAACTTAGCCCCCCCCCAACATAATTCAAAATTATTTTATCTCCCAAAATCACGTGACCAGCCTGGACCAGGGTCTTGCCTCCAGCGAGAAGCGCAGTGGAAAGTGCCTGGGTACGAGGTTGATATTGTCTTTGGAAAGTCAATAGATGACTGTTGCTAAAATATTGATGTTTATTTTTCCGGTCCGTAATCCCAGGTCCGTAGCGTAACACGCCATACGGACCTTTCACCTTTCACACACGTTATGGACCTGTCACGTTTAGCCCCATGACAAACCGAGGAGTAAAGACAATTTTTAAACCGAAAACGTTGAAAAATTCTCCATATCGATACTAAATTCTAAAGATAGAAAAATAAGCTGAACTGATTCAATATAGATTTAGTATAAAGCCCAACATGTTCTTTTTTCCGACATAAATGGGTAAAAACAAGTATTTGTTTGACATATATAAGTATCGAAATATCAGTGTGAGTGGTAAATGTTTAGTTTCAAATATTCCGCAGCATATATTCAGCTATACGTCGAAAAGTATAGGTTAAAATATAAATACTGAAACAAAGGAGTTGTCCTCAAACATAAAATTAAAAAAGTACTTTAAAACGACATTTGTTTCACGGCACGTTTTTTAGTCACCTTTCAACGGCACTTATTTTAGCCATATATTTTTATAAATGTTGTCAAAAACACAATGTTTTCGGCAAGCACAATTTGTTGCTGCGTGTCGAAACAACATTTTTGAAGCATGTTATTAGGTTAAAATGATTAGTAAAATAAATACTTTTAATCGCTTTTCCTTTTTGTTGTCTCGGTGTTGAGTAGAAAAGCATCTATTGCATAAAAAACAAAGGCTTTTTATCGTGTCGTTTTAATACGATGTCAGCCATGATGCTTGGTTACAAAGCACTGCATGGATTAAGTAACCAACACCACTGATCTCAAGACTAGTTCGCAACACTGGAGTTTTTAGGAATTTAATTAAGCATCGAGCAAAAAAATAAATATTTCATTTACTGTTGAGGTCGGTTCCTACTGAGACCTCGCATCAGAAAAATATTTTTCAGTATGGACCTCCCATGCAGCCGGTAAATAACATATATAGCTATACTAAGCACCTGGCAATAAACATTAGTGCAGTTAACTATACATTATCACTATTCTATATTTAGTTTCAATATTTTTCGCAAGAAATTTGCCTTCAGAAAGAAATTAAATATTTTAATATTTAAAATGTGTTATTCTACGCTCAGGATGAAATTATATCTAGTTGATCTTTATGTATAGGATAAACACCGAGAAGGAAGGATTTATGTCTGATAATGACATATAAGGGAAGCTTCACATATAGATTTCGTCCATGAGAAATGTCATATGGACTTTGTTTTCTTTTTTATATTCTTCAAAGATGATTAAAATCTACTGAATTTTTCCATGACCTTCTGCAGAGAACGTCACAGCTGAAAATCTCCCCCCCCCCCCTCACCTACAAACGAACACAATTATGACGTTTCTTGTGGACACAATTGATATGTGGAGCTTCCCTAAATCCCGATTGAGAAAGTTTTTCAACCAATTTTGTCTGTTTTGTCTGCTTTGAAAGACAATTTTTTCTTCATCTTTTCAGATAACTAATATTCAAGGTCATTATACTAGAAGTTACTATCGCAAGGAAAATGCTGCCTGTCCGCCAAAGGCTGTATGCGCAATTTGCTGAATAAAGGGCTGTTTATATGATAACGCTTTGCCAGGAAGAGATATGAGGCAGGATGATTTCGATATTTGAATTAAGTCACGGTCTTGAAGAAAATAATTAGGAAGAACAAATATATGTCTTTTAACGTGATACGATTAAGTTTGTTAAGTAATGTTTTCATTTGGTAAACAAGTATTACCATTACTTTTTGTTCAATATGTAGATTATCATATTCATTTAGCATGTATAATGTCCATTGTTGGCCATCATTATTGTCCAATAACTTGTTAGGTTGCTGTACATATACGAGTTTGTAATATCATGACATACAATTAATGGTCCTGACATCCATATATTATGGTAGATTGGAAACAAGTATGATAATTGTTTAATAATACATGGCAGATTCTATTCCATTACACGTATTAAATCCATTCAATATTGTAAATCAGGATTCTTAAGCTTGTTTTAATAGGAATACATTCCTGTTAATGTAGATATAATATATCCATATTATATTTTGACTGTAACAACCATTTGGTTTCATTCAGCAGTTAACATGACATCATTCACAACTGTCAGAATTGCAAAACTATAGAAAAACATAATTGGTAACATGATATATTAGGCGGCACAGAATAGGCAATTCCAAATTTTAGATTAGGCATGCAGGGGGGAGTAAGGTATAATATTGCTGATGATGCTGAAAAATTAAAAATGATGGCCGTGTAAACACGGAGTGATAGCTCACACTTGTAAATATTGACATATTGAAATTATATCAGCATAATCAGCAACATTATACCTTACTTCCCGTCACCTCCTACGTACATAAATTAAAATCTGAAATTGCATATCATGCTCTACCCCAATGGGTAGATCAATGTTACTTTTTGCTACAGTGGGCAGATCAGTGATACTTTTTGCTTCAACAGGCTCGACCACAATGAGTAGTCGAATGCTATTTTGAGCGTCAATGGGCTCGACCACAATGGGAAGATCAATGTTATTTTGTGCTTCAATGGGCTCCACCATAATGGGTAGACTGTTATTACTTTGTCCTATACCACAATGGGTAGACTGTTATTGTTCTGTCGTACCACCATGGGTACACTGTTACTGTTTTGTCGTACTACAATGTGTAGTTCAATGTTATTTTGTGCATCAAAGGGATCCACAGGTGTTGTAGTTGTATTCGCATGGGACCTGCACTAGGGCTGGCACGTGTGTCGATCACAGAATCAATCACATATATATCGTATTAAGAAAACATGTTCGTACAAGTGTACAACTCGAAATATTGACAACTTTAGAAGAATTCGACACCAGGTTCTAAGACAGCCGTATATTATCCAGAGCCAGCAAGTACATTTTGTCTCCTTGTATTTAACAATAAGAAATTATTCAATGTTGTTTTTGACCAATTGATCAATGCGATATTTTGGGCAGTTAAAACCGCCGATATTATAAACTCAATAACTCATAAAAGCAAATTGTCTGCCTCTAGATTGCATTGAATACTAAAAAGGTAATCGCCTTGATGCATTTTGGAAGAAAGAAATAGAGCCATACTTACCTGAATTGTTCCGAATATTTTCAATCTCTTGCATCCGTATTTATAAGCTTGAAAAATGTTGAGTACATTGCCACATGGAGATGCGTGCTCAATGCAAAATCTTGTTTGTGATCGCCCCGCTCATTTAACAAACGTTCCTGAAGCATAATTATTCCACCCCGATTGCGAAATCTTTACATATACATACATACAGACAGACACAAAATCGAGATCTCGACAATACATAACTCGGGCTTCATGGTTAAGGACAATACATAACTCGATGCTTCATGGTTAAGAATAGTGTGCTGCCTTCGGCAGCAAAAATAATCACCTCGGTACATCAAAGAAAACCGACTCAGTAATGAATTAATATTTTATGTCGTACAATTTATAACCTATAATTATTGAAAATTGATATATTCAATATGAACTACGTGCAATGTAATTATTAAATTTGTTCTTACTAATTTCTAGTGCAAAATCATATATTTCGCAGAACCCTATTACGATTTAGTTGTCGCTATTGCTATGACCTTGTAAAATATTTATAAGAAATGCTGTGAATTAGGCTAAAAAACATTGATATTTGTCGATCAACCTATGACTATGGCAACAGACAGTATTTCAGCAAGTGTATGCTACGAACTCTTGTTACATAAAACATCCCAGCCTATATAATATTATGTTTCATTTTCGTGTCTCGCCTAATAGCATGCGAACGATCAACAATGTACGATCGCGAGTCAATTAAGCTCCAATTTCGTTTTCGCTCGTATATATAGCCTAGTATATATTATAGTCTTTTGTTTCACTACATTTACACGTCTTATACATTTAATTATAAATTCTTCATTCAAATACCTTTAATCTTCCGACTGCTTTACTCTTTGAAACACTGTCACTTTGACTTTGTTGTTAGTATTTGAGTGATGCAATCGTTTCTATTTGTCCATGTCGCTCTTGAAGCCTTCAACTCGTCAAAAATCAGTCAGCAAATGCCAGAATAATATAATACCCACAAAATGGTGATCATTTTCTGTCCATAAAATCAATTTCAAAATCGAACGTCTTTGGTTGTTGTTTAATCTATGTTCTAACGTTATAAAAGTTTGCCAGTGGCAACGGTTAAGTGTCTTTATCCGGTTTCACATAGTTTAGTAAAATATAGAAAGGTTGAAAGAAATATTGAATTCTTTGTGAAGCCACTTATGTTAATCTTTGTTGTCACTCACCTGCCGTTTCAAAGACAAAAGATTTTTAGCTCGCTGCCAACAATTTTCCAAAGCAAATATAAATGCTTGGAATGATCAATCTAAATCATGATCTTAATCTCATCAACTATATACATGCAATTTATTTGTAATAGTAAATCACAATATATTTAGGTGCAGCCTTTCAACCCAATCGTTGCACTTACAGCAATCTTAATCCTGGGTAAATAACAATATTCTAACACATAAATAATATAAACACGCGCGTACCAGTCCTGAATTCACGTATACCGTACGATAACCCTATACTCTCTATAGAGCTATCCCAATCTTAATTCTGTCGATGTGTGAAACAAAAAGGTGTGATCAAGTTATTGTGATGTCATTTTTCACGTTGCGAGAAAATATTAATGATCTCAACAAATATACAATAAATCGTACTCAGAAGGATATCGGTGCTTTATTCATCTATATTTCGTAAAATCGTCTTATGGATTTAAACTTTTCCATGCGTGTATGCAATTATGAAAAATGTTCAACTGGAAAGCATCATGCAGCCTTATGTTTGATCAATATTCTATTTCAATTGCGAATATAGACATGCAACTAAACAACTAGTATTTTGTTAATTAAAATATTGTTTGATTTTTACATTCAAATGAACACATTGTATTACGTCCCCCTTGCATGAAGATGTTAATAATTAAAGACCCAATAGGCCGTATTCCCTGACCGCTTTTCGTTCAGTTTTGTTGCCCCGCTTCGGGCACTACTTTAAATTCACATGAATCTATAGATTTTTATACGCTGAGTACGAATTCACTTGTTGTCACTCGCACAAACCTGCAGTTTTTTTTGTATTTTACGATCAAACATCAACATTTTTTATTAAAATTTCCGCCATTCTGTCAGGAAACTTCATGTTATATACAATTATCGTACTATTTCAAGTCTCTTAGCAGGGGGGGGGGGGGTGCATGCGGTATTACTCATTTTTATCATTCTTCTGAGGAAAATATACAGAAATAAATAAAAATATAGATATTTTTCACAATATTAAAATGCAAAAGGTAATGATACAAGTTTGTAAATAATCAGGAACTAATCTACTATTCTTTATTGCACCAACTTTTGTTTTTTTCCTCACCTTGATATGAAATTGCAAAGACTGTCACTATATCCACAAAGACTCACTTGACTTGTCCTTGGTAAAGTTGTTTATTTTATTTATTACTGAAATTATGTACATAATTTTAGCCATACAATGTGAATAGGCAATTTTTCATTCAAATTTTTGTTAACAATGTATAAGGAGCACAATTTACTTGTTGTTTAATTAATAAATGTTAGACCTATTTGGTGTTTAGTATAAAATGTTAGACCTAGTCACCTAGATAATTTATTAACACAAATAGACCATAATCGATTGCCCATTATTAGCGGTTGACCTCAATCAAATTAGCTCATCCATTTAATAAATCTGCACATAACGAGTTCCATCACAGTTAATAGAATAGATGGTTTGGCTGAAACTCATTATTTATGCATGTTACTATGTTAGTCAACGATTATTCATAAATCTGGTCCTTTATCGTCATGTGTGTATTCTATTATTGCCAAATCCACCTTGTATTCTCGCATTTTCAATTAACCCTATTGTTCGAGTCACGGATAGGTAACTTTCCTAAGACATTGCTATTGGTTAGTTGGGCAAAAATACAGAGACCAGATTTATGAATAAACCAGTGATGTAACTTTACTTTTTGACCACTTGCTGTCAGGGCAAGTTAATTGGACATGAAAATTAGTTGCCCGGAATAAATTTCATTTGCTAGGGGGCATAAATCAAGGGGCAACATGTCGACTCATTCTCCCACTACTCTATATGGCTATGTTATACTTCCTCAGATCTAGCTTTGGCCCACAAAAAACAAAATTTGAATCAAGTACATGCACCATAAAAAAATTATGCGATAATGAAAGCCGAGCTTTTTGTGGCACGAGGCAACTTGCCCAATCGGACAAGCAAGATAAAATGTTTAATTGCCCGTCATGGTATTCACGCGGCACGCATATTAATCACGATTCACGGAATGGCATTTCTTTAAATGACGGATCACGAAGCACGAATAATTGCTAATCACGAGTCACGAATATACCCTTGCCCCCCTCTTATAACTTATATAAATAAATAAATACAAGTCTAATTACTTCAAATTGTAAAAATATTAGTGAAAGTCAACTTAAAGACTAAGTGCATGGGTAATTTCTTTTAAAAAAGACTACAAAGTGATATAGCTAAATAAATTACGATAATATAGTTTTTCCATAGTATTTTATAGAAAACAAGCCTACTCGTGAGCACTTGCGAAAACAGGACGACTCGTGAGATTTTTTAACTTATTTTTCACCCTGCTCGGTTTCCTTTGTTCTTGTCGGGGAATATATTCATTATTCTCCTCTAATCAATTTCCGTTTAATAATCCCCTCTAATATTCACCTGCAATTAATAATCCCCTCTAATATTCACCTGCAATGTCTTTGCAGCACAAAAAATGAGAAAAAACAACATCGCAAAAGCAATATGGCATTGAGAATTATTTCTTTTCTGACTCATTAACGCGACCTCGCAGTGTGAAAAATAAGTACGTTATTTTGAGGCACCTCGGGGATATGTGTTTATTCACCTCGGCGCTGCGCGCCTCGGTGAATAAATCACATATCCCCTCGTTGCCTTAAAATAACCTATACATAACCGCGCACTTGATACTGTAACTGCATGCATGCAGTATAGTTTTTGACGAATTCCTCAGGTGCACTATCAAATCTAGTCAACAAACCTATTCTATTTATTTTTTTTATTATTTTTTTTTATTTAAAATTTTTTCCCATGTACAATAAATTTATGTGTAGTATATTTACAAAAATTGTAGAGTGCGGGATAGAGACCTTCTAGAAATCTTCGTAGACTTTTTATTTAGATCTCTAGTTATGCTAGTTTGTATTATATTATGTAATAAATTATTTACAGCGGTCAATCAGAATATTGTTCTTATTGTAGAAGTGAATACCAGTGGCAATGTTGTAGATGCATTTGGGTTCTTATAAGAATTAGACTACAATATACTATTAATTTTGTCACATAGCAGAATGTTTTATAGCATGTCTTATACATTGTATAGTAAAAAATGTTGTTTAATTTGCTTTTTGAACGTGCTGTAGAAATTTTTATCTATAAATTTTGTTTCTAATGAATTCCAAACGTGAACTCCATTATTTGAGAGTGTGTGTTACATAATTTGTTCTTTTATAACATTTGTGAAGTTTTGATGCATTTCTCGTGTTATATATTGATGAATTTGGTTGTTTGTCACAAAATAATCTTTAAAAAGTTCTAGTAAATTATTAAGACGGTGGTATCGAAACATAAATAAAGCAGTTAAATAGTCGTTGATTTTGAAGATGCTGAGGATATTTAAATCTTTGAAAATTGGCTCACTGTGATCATGGATAATAAAATAAATGGATAGGAAACTAGCCTACGTGACCTAATGTTTTCAATAGCCTGATGGCGTGGTTGGATGTTGAAACCTAGTTGCAAATAAAATACTCAAAAACGGCATGTTTAGCAATAATAGGCTACAGCTAAACATTTTAATCAACGAGCAAATAAATATAACCACGCCATTCTACGGCGAAAACTCTAAGTATTTCCAGTCAATTTTAGCAAATATTTCAAGCAGTAAAAATACATAAACAGTGAAAAATACATCGCAAATTTCGTTAAATTTTGTGACGCTAATTTCCTACCTACATGCAAATGTAAAAAAAATACAAAACAAAGACGAAAAACATTTACCTTGAATACTTTGTCGTGGCTTAGGCATGTTTTTAAAACAATTTATGACCATTTTTTTTCTCTGTTGGTGTAGTGTACTCAGGTGAATATGATATTTGTGGTGTTAATCTGAGTGCATATCCACACCGGGCGAGCCCGAAAAACATGCCCGGCCACGGTGGGACTCAACCTACGACCCCTGGAACACCAGCCCAATGCTCCTCCAACTGAGCCACGCGGTCTGGACGGCTCGAGCAAGTGATATTTCGGAACAGAATCTAGTTCCTTCGATACCAATGTATTCTAGTAAATTTAAAATATGAATTTTTTCTGTGTTGGTGTAGTGTACTCAGGTGAATATGAAATTTGTGGTGTTACTCTGAGTGCATATCCACACCGGGCGTGGCTGGGAATGTTTTTCGGGCTCACCCGGTGTGGATATGCACTCAGAGTAACACCACAAATATCATATTCACCTGAGTACACTACACCAACACAGAAAAAATTCATATTACTAGAATACATTTGTATCGAAGGAACTAGATTCTGTTCAGAAATATCACTTGCTCGAGCCGTCCTGACCGCGTGGCTCAGTTGGAGGAGCATTGGGCTGGTGTTCCAGGGGTCGTAGGTTCGAGTCCCACCGTGGCCGGGCATGTTTTTCGGGCTCGCCCGGTGTGGATATGCACTCAGGGTAACACCACAAATATAATTTATGACCAGTTTACGCTTGAAGATCACCTTTTTAAAGTGGAAAATATAGCAAAACAACAAAAATGCCGAGAACTTCGCAGTACCCGTGACGTCACGTTTTTCAACAAGGATGAAGTTAATGACGTTAGGAAGTTTCCTATCCAGGTATTTTACAATCCATGCTGTGATCAAAGTAAGATTTGAATGCCATTAAATGCACTATTTTTTTTGTATATTCATTATTTTTTTGAATTCTGTTTTTGTAAGTATTACCCCGTGTTAGGTTGCCGTAAATCAAGTATGGATAGACTAATGCATAGTATATCAGTTTTACAGTATGATATTTGTGGTGTTACTCTGAGTGTATATCCACACCGGGCGAGCTTGAAAAATATGCCCGGCCACGGTGGGATTCGAACCTACGACCTTTGGAATACTAGCCCAATGCTCTTCCAACTAAGCTAAGCGGTCAGGACGGTTCGAGTATGCAATATTTCGGAACAGAATCTAGTTCCTTCAATACCAATGTTTTTTCTAGTAATATGAATTTTTTCTGTGTTGATGTAGTGTACTCAGGTGAATATGATAATATCATATTCATTCCAAAGGTCGTAGGTTCGAATCCCACCGTGGCCGGGCATATTTTTCAAGCTCGCCCGGTGTGGATATACACTCAGAGTAACACCACAAATATCATATTCACCTGAGTACACTACACCAACACAGAAAAAATTCATATTACTAGAAAACATTGGTATTGAAGGAACTAGATTCTGTTCCGAAATATCACATACTCGAACCGTCCTGACCGCGTAGCTCAGTTGGAAGAGCATTGGGCTAGTATTCCAAAGGTCGTAGGTTCGAATCCCACCGTGGCCGGGCATATTTTTCAAGCTCGCCCGGTGTGGTTATTCACTCAGAGTAACACCACAAATATCATATTCACCTGAGTACACTACATCAACACAGAAAAAATAGTTTTACAGTATTTATAATATAGTATTTTAGCTATTTAATTTAGCCATACTATACAGTTTTGTGTGCTTCTCAAATGTGTTCATGCAATAATTTCAAATTGATAACGTATACTGGTTCTACCTATAAGTTAGCATTAGAAAGCTACAAAATATGAAGATAAGCTAGACAACATTAATCCATGCAAACAAAGTGCATGCAGGTTAATTGCGGTATTAGTCCCATTCTCAGATCGTTTAGTAGCCTATGGAATAGTAATTTGTCTTACTATATCTGTGATGATGTTCTGGACTATTTAAGCTAAAAACTCTCATTCCATATTTGCAGAGAAGTATTACCTGCGTTTGAGTAAACGTTGTGAAATGCTATGCCTTTCACGTAAATAATTTATTTTGGTCTATTATACACCAATACTTTATACTACATTATTTACAGGGACGTGTTCTGTTCATTTAAAGCAATTTTGTGATATCCTTTTCCCTTGCAGGTTTTGCAGTCCATGTGCTTTTTGGATTTGTAACCACGAATGTAATTTTTAATCATTCGCCATAGTGGTAGAAGTGAGCCAAACTCACCCTCCGGGCCGATCATAGCCAGAACTGTAGTGAAGAGGATTAGGGAATATAGAATTGACAGGCCAATGGTACAGAAGATAAAAATACCAAACTGTCGAAAGAAGATAATTTTTGCTGCCAACATGAAGATTGATGATCCTAGTGTGGTACAGGCACCAGAGAAGACGGATATTCCCACATGACCCAATGTGTACTTCACCCTGGTAACTCTGTCTTCACCTTCAAGTTCCATATATCCGTCAGCCAAATGCACGACATAATCTACCGCAAGACCGACAACAAGTGTGAGATTAAGAGATTCAAATACTCCAAGATGCCAGCCAAGGATTGGGATTAGTCCAAGAACACCGGCTGTTACCATAGCGATTGATATAGTTGCCATGACACCAACGATGACGTTTGTTGTGGCTAGCGTAAGCACAATCAATGCAAGCGCTAAACCAGTACCGATTCCGGATATTGCACTGTTGACTAAAATCTGGAGGAAGAGATAAATCAAAATACCGTTAAATTTGCATTCATTTAAAATATACTGCAATGCCTTAAAGTAAAAGTAAATATTCCTCAATTCGGATTGGCCGAAGGTATACTCGAAGGGTTATACACCGTATGCTAACGGAATGAACATTGTATTAAAGCCGGCAGTATGTCTATTGAATCTGTAGTCGCGTGTTTGAAGCGATCGTAAGGGAGGGAGTGTTGCTGCCTCGTCACCTCCAATGATTCCCAGAATTGTTTTTAGTGAAAAGTTGAAATCCGGGAAGGAATGTAGGAGTGCAATGTCTGGAATAACGAAAAAAGGGCTTTTTATCAATTATGGGCTTTTTGGATCTCATGTCAGAATGCAAGATTTCAAGAATATATAGATAGCTTACAATTCAAAATTTCCTTTTTTGGCACAAAAAGTCAACATTCGAATTCTGGCCACCACTCATGCTACAAAGCTAAGGGAACCATTGAATCATTTTCGACCAATCAAATGATTCATTATGAATGACTGGGTGATTGGCCGTTTGGTCTATATTTGGCTAATAAATTAATCGATTAATTTATTTAGTCAGATAAATCATTTCATTGGACAGTTAATTTATTTACGGATAGATTCAATAGCTCTCAATCAATCAGCACATCGATCAACCAACATATAGTATCTGATTGTTCAACACCTACCTCTTGCACCTTTAACCATTGCCACTCATTTTGTATCGTGACCGTTGCCTGGAAACCATTGTTACACGACGACGGCATGTCATTCATCTGAGGAAAAGAAATTAATAAAATTAGTAGTAATGAATTTTTCACAACATGTTAAAATTCGGAGTATGTTTCATCTTATATTTTACGAAATTGTCTGCTGGTAAAGGATTATGAATTCTTCTGTTATATAATCATAATAGATCAATCGCTGTCCGTGTTGTGCATAATGATCAACTTATATGAACTGGTTTACTGGACTAAAACGTGCAAAGAAACTGTTTTCCTTGGGGTAAAGGCAATGACGTAATTCCTATGGGCTTTTGCCTGCAATTATCCAAATGTGCCCTTGTAGCGATTTGAAATGTTTTCTAACAAGAGTAACTGTTTGTACAACAAAGCTAGAACTGCATGTGATTGTATACAATAAAAAAGTTATTCTCTCCTTTCTCAGACCTCACATTGACTCGCTTAAAAACATAGAGTACGCCACCCTTATTTGCGTAAATCAAAACTCGTAATCCTAAACTTCCAAAATCTTTCTGAAACTTATACAATGCTCCACCTTTTAAATGAATGATTAAACTTCAAGAAATTCACATTTACGCCATGCAGCATTCGGCAGGAAGAACGTTTATATTAACGTTAAATGAAGAGAAGGTTTAATTAATTACTGATAATACTTTTTCATTCCTGAAAGAATTTTAGGACATGAAAGAAACGAGTTATCAGCTCAGGATTGTCCAAAGGGAGATCAACTACTGTCAGTAACAGGTGTAAAATAATCAAAATAATGAACATTAAAAGATTTGCATAAATTCTTCGCAACAACATCGATGAATGTATTATGAATAGAGAAAGATAAAAAATATCTATATGAAGTACTACAAAATCTTCAACAAGGTAAGTAATGCGGGCGCCGCGAGGTAATAGCAATAACAGATAAAGACTAAAGTACGTAATGGACGAAACACCGATCACGTGATTTTTTAAAACGCTTCTAATTTAACCGTTTCGACATAATTTGATAATTTTACAACGTATTTAGCATTCTCTTAGATTTTAACAGCTGGCTTTCTTCGCAATTTTCGCGATATGTCTACGAAGAGTAGCTTATATCTAGTCGGAAGAAGTACGACACTCGTGAGATGCTAGGATTTGCATTCAGATTTTAGAAATAGCGCTGATTTGTTGGTGCCGGTATAGACTATAGTTTCAATATTAAGTTTTAAGTTTTTAAAAATGTAAGTAATCAGAAACTGTTCTATAAATTGTTCTTTGCGATGCGTTTCTGAACTGCGATCGGAAATCTCCGAATGGATAGGCTAAACGGTGTTTCATATCCCTTCTATTATTAATTGTCTATTACTAAAGATACTATTACCTCATACGCTCCCCATTACTTATCTGTTCAGGATTCTATAGTACTTGATAAAGATAATATTTTTTGCTCTTTCTCTGTTGACATTCTTGCGAAGAATTTATGCACACAGTATCTTTTAATGTCAGGTTATTATTTTGATTATTTTGCACTTGTAGTTCAGCCCCCTGTGATTTGGCTATCTTCGGGATGTACAATCATGCATTCCCTAATATACGTGCTTAGAAATTAACAATTATGAAATATTGGGAAGACTAGACTTACCTCATTCTGGATAAATTCTTCCCAGTTATCATGGATCGGCAAGCCCTCCTCATATCCCAGTGTAATGGGATTTAATGATGTATTCAAGGCTATGGCAACATACAACAGGCGATTACCGAACTTGTCGCCTATAAAATAAATAATATATTGCACATCGTCATTTTAACAAAAATACAAGAAAAGACCGAAGATTGTTGTTCATGATCACAAAAGAAAAGATTCCAGGTGATATGCCTTACAAATGGCAATGCCATGCAAATGGCAGTAATTAAAGTCATTGATTTGAGATATTGGATGGAGTTTATAGTATTGAATGAGGTTTGCTTTTCAAGAGAGTGCTATTTTTCGACATGAAATTCTAAATAGCTTTAACAGTAGCACAACTCCACAATGCGTAAATTAGAAAACAAAAAAGAACGTTTCAAACGGAATAATGAAGGTTAAATATATTCAGAGAGTACAATTGAATTGATGTATTTCGTTCTACATAATTTCAGAGCATAAAACTGTATATTTTATTCGAAAACATTTTGTAGAGAAATTATGAAACATGAACCATGGTTGTACCTTTTATACTTGCATCGTTTGTAATAGAACTGGGATCAATTTGTCCTCCAAACATATCCTGATATTTTTCAAAATCATAGGTAGATGCAAAGTCTGGTGAACCTCCATCCGTTATAAAATAACCTAAACCAACTTCAAAGAATCTGTAATAGGTAGGAGGCAAAGAGTCGATAGAGATGTTGAATGTACGTGGGTTGGATTCCATTAGCGTTGTCATTTTTGCAGGGTTGATGGGAAAACGGAAGTCGGATCCATTTGGGTATTGTGTTTTGTTGTTTTCCCCCTAACAAGATAAAAAAGCGTCAAATATATCAACAAAATTTAAAGTCAAACTAAAAACTTGCTACACTGCATGACAATTCAGTATTGTTATTGAATGTTTTTATGTTTTTATTTATACACTCAGTCTATTTTTATATATATCCATGTACTTTTGCTAATTTCCGTTTTCTTGATTTAACTAAAATGACTAGAGATTAAACTTTGAAAAAAATTTGGTCTTAAAAAAAGTAGTTGTTTGAAACCGAACAATGCGCTCTTAAAATTGAGGAGGTAGCTCGAAAAAAATCTACAATTTTCCCAGTATATAAAAGTTGTCGTTCAATTACTTAGTCCACAAGAAATATTAAGCCAACGTCAAGTACAAATTTGTTTTAACGATTTCTTTAAAAAGCTGCTTGACACCGAGAGCGGAATCATTTCATTCGTCGTCTCAAATCTGGTGGTTTTTTGCACACTCGATGAACAAAGCGTACACATAATTATTTAAAATAAAAACGAAAAGCAGTTTAATATGTTAATTAAAAAATATTTTAAATAAATATTTTAGCAGACGCCTCTGGGTATAAAAAATGAAGTTTTTAGAATGTATGAGAACAAATATACACTGCAATCTGGTATTAAAATTTGCATAGTGAACACAAGTATATATCTTTCGAAAGCTAATGCTACTTTGGCTACTGTGCACACTCCTTTAATATAGTAACTTGTCTATAATTTGTAAAAATAACTAAATTTCAAGTATAAAATAATCATGCAATGTGCAAAAATAAATTGAATTGAATATCGATAATGCATTGATTGTTACATTTTACATACATATGTGTACGTTAATGTATTGCAGGGATGAGTCTCTATACGCCCTTTCGATAATTACGTCATTTGGTCTGGGAGCCTCGCTCTCGTGAATCGAGCCAACCTCCTTGCGTAATTTACTTATGAGAGCGAGGCTCCAAGACCGAGGAATATGCGTGACGTAATATCGAAAGGGTGTATGCCACAATGTTGTATAAAATTCTCTATATATTACTAACCACAAGATATTCTTCCATCCGTTCGAAAATGCATTCCATTTCAATTTCACCCGTGACCTGACTTCTTCTAAGTTTCAACTTATCCTCTTGCTCAGCAGGAAGGTTTTTGAATTTCTTGCACAAATTCTAATTTCAATAAAGGCATATAAATTATTACTTACAATTGGTCGATGGAGGTTGGCAATGTTGATTGATGATGATAATAATGAATGATGGCGCAGTTAGATGGGCGGTAAGAATGAAAGATGGATCCTGATGAATGAAGAAAATGATTGTTGATTGATCGATGATTGATAATCGCTCATGATAATGCATTATCATTGGCGATCACGTAATAAATTATGACACTGGCCATGGATTGTGACGATGTTTTAACATCTCATGCATTGCATACAATGAGGTTAGGATTAGGAAAAGGGCAACGTGACGACGACGGGTGGTAATACAATGAAATTTAATAATATTTAAGAAAATATGTGAATAACTAAAATCCCACCAGATATTCAAACGCGAATTAAAGGTGTATAATTTATTATCTGTATTACTAACCAGGATGGCATTTTGACAAGGCGGAGGATTGAGATCAAAGCTCTTATCAAACACAGTTTTTCCTTTACATTCAAAGTCCGTGTGATGACAATCACTCCGATCTTGGTCGTTTAATCCCCAAACAATATGTACGACGATCACTTTGTCTTCCTGACTTGGACGGAATGCATCTTTTGACAGCGATCTTGCACGGCCCCAGTTCGTGTCATCTGACCACGGGTTTATCTAGTTGTTTATGATAGAATATTAGAATAACACATTACTGTGTAGAGACATTAATATAAATTTGCCTGGGAAAAAGATCTGTAGAAATTAGGAATAAAAAAGAAAATCAGATTTTTTTCGGTATTCGAATTGGAGTAAATTAGGTATAAAAATCCATTATTTATATTACCGATTTCTTATGAGTATCTTAATATATTATATATGTAGCGCTCGGGCATTGTACGTTGATATTTTATAGTAAATTATTGTAGACGAAAGGTGACCGCGGTTACGAACGAATTCGCATTTTCGGTAATTAGTCAAATTATTTAGTATATGCATGGTGATTACACAAGAAAATTTAAATTAACGAAGATTATGAAACACATTTTTGGATATTCCAAACCCTCAAATGGCATTTCTTCTTCAGATTGAAGTGTATCAAAATATACTGTTCAACTTTCACTCAAAAAATGGGAAGCTATTGTATAAGTTTCCAACCTTAAAAACTCACCTGTTCAGTGTCAGGTTCTAATTGTGTGGCAAATGTAACCGACACGATTAGCAGCACCGTAAAGCAAACAACCACAACCCAACGAGTAATTTTGTGAGTAATAACGTATTTGAAAAACGGTTCTTCAAAGAAATGAATGACGTGTTGCGACACGGACTTGCTTGAATTCTCGTGGGGAAGAATATCTGAGCTTTGGCTTTGGTTAGATTTTCTTGTACACATTGGCCAGCAGCAGCAATTGCCGTCTCGGTCACGGTCGTGCATCATTATTACAGTTGGGAAGAACAAGATAACTGACAAATAGTTGACGACAATAAGAATACCTGAGAATAAACCAAATGAAGAAATTGCCAGTAACGGTGACTGTACGTTTGATAGAAAAGCCATCATTGTTGTGAATGAAGTGATAAGTGTCGCTTTCGCGGCTCGTTTGTACACTGTTGTTAAACGCATCGCCATATTCTTATGCGTCTTGTGGTGTGATTGCTTCCACGAGTCCATAAACACAAAAATATTATCTGAACCAATGCCAAGGATAATAAATATAGACAAAACGTGGAAAATTCCAAAGTATCTGTAATCAAACACAACCCTGTATACGAGATTTGCGATATTGAAACTTGAAATGACACTGAATATGCCCCACGAGGTGATCCAAATGGAACCGGTTTGGAACCACATGAAAAGGAATATAAATATGAAACTAGCCACAGCTAACAACATATCAAGGATAACTTGCTTTATCGTAGCATCTGTGAACAGTGCATTATTATTATATACAAAGTCTAAACTACCAACACCATCTTTAAAAGTGTCCTCCAATTTTTCAGCGAATGCATCAACAATTCGTTTGTCCATTTCGTCTCTTTGATCATCATCGCGGTCATCTGTACTGTTATAACCTTCAATTGGCCAGCCGGTGTACATCAGTGTTCGGGTTACTTCAGATTCTGCCACGTTCTGGTTAATAACGGCGTCCTTGCCAAGGTGGAATGTCAATATAGCCCTACTTACGTTTACTGATTGCGCAGCATGGAGAACCTTAGGAATGTTTTCGAATTTTGGATCGTAAAGATCTGCGCTAATATTCTTATAAGAACCATCAAAAAATCGCAGAATAGACAAAGGCTTCTTACAAGTGGAAGTAGTATAATTCGTAGAATTAACAGAATAATCCAGTTGGCAGAGTCTTGTTTGGTATACACTGTCCATGAAAAGTTCATTTTCAAAATTTTGTAAATCGAGTAAATGTTCTTGTGTAAACACATTTCCACCATTCTTTTCGTAGATATATACAAGTGGCTGATACTCCATACCCCGTAGTTGCTGGTTACCATTAAGTTTTATGACAGCACCATCGTCTTTAACGTAACGCCAAGCATCTGTTCGAAGTTTGGTCGAGTCGTCTTTCAGCTCGAGTGGCAGAGTGGAAAAATTGATCGGTATGACATCATATCCTGCAGCAAGTAGAATTCCAGTTACAAGGATCATAAGCAAATGCGCACCCAACGTAATCCCTGAAAAAGTGAAAAGACCAATATTCACATTTTAAAACCGGATTTTTTCTACTCTATTTTTATACTGTATCAAAAATAAAAAAACACGTGATCGTATAAATTCTATTCCTGCTAAATATATTTGTCTGATAAAAATTATGCTGTCGTGTTTTCCAGTGACTCCATTTTCATTCTCTGCCGCTACTCATGTTTCCTCATTGTTAAGCTAGGGGGACAAAGAATAGTTTATAGTTGAGTGCAGTTTGGGTCACTTCATTCATTGTTCTTTTTAGCCAGGTACATGTAAGTGGAATTTGACTGAACAGGCAAAATATCATGACAAATAAATTCGTTTGTTTGTGCACATGCATTATCGAGGCGGGGGAAAGGCAAAGGCTCAAGCATGTGTTTGCTAATAGAATGTGTAAGCCGGCACTGAAAGAAGGTCCTTAAATATATTGGCATAATGCTTATTTAAGCGCTACTTTTATACGTACACTGTATTTTTGCTAAATTCCATTTCCTTGATTAAGGAAAATAGCTATTGAGTTTGAACTTAAAAAATTTTACTCGTCCGAATAAATATTTGTTTGAAACCCGACGATGATGTCCTTAAAATTGAAGGAAGGTCCGTGACTCTTCAATATATTGGCATAATGCTTATTTAAGCACTACTTTTATGCGTACACTGTATTTTTGCTAAGTGGTCGATTTGCTCTTGTAGAGCCTTGATGACCAATTATTATTCTATCTATTTATAATGAACTGATTTGCAAATGCTAGTTTAATAATGTATATCGTATTTGTAAAAATCGTTGAGTGTCTGTTTTATGTATATCGTTGTAAATTTGTAATAGTAAGCCCTCTAGATGAGCATTATATGCATGCTCTTAGGGCAAACTATATCATTAAATATTTATTAAATCAAAACTGAACGGTAGCTCAAAAAAGCTTCCCAGTAAACGTTGTTGTTTAATTACAGACTATTACGACGTTAATGATCTTTCATTATTAATCATTATAACCAATATACTGTATTGTCTTCGATGTGGTAAAATAACGGCGAAAAAAATGAAGTAAGAATGCTTGGCATGGAATGATAACAGTTGCTGAATTAACCTTGCAGGTATAATAACATTTATGAATGTCACCTTTGTGTACTTTCAATAAAAACACCTGCTTTCTAGCATTTCCCCGACACCACTGAATTTACATTCATTTTCTTCCTATAGTGTGAAAAAATCACTATTCGCTGGATAGTGCTATCCGGCCTTCGTATACAACTGGTCCTTGCCCCTGGGTGGTACAATACGATCAGAGTACAATACTTAGCTGGGACCACCTCCCCCTTAGAAGGTTAACTAATTATTATATTGCGTCTAGTTCATAGTGACAGTCGATAAAGGAGAGGACAGTCCTTGAGTTCTATTCCATGCAGGTAGAAATATTCAAATAGAAAAAATTTGTCGACGAATATTCGGCCTGATTTAAACACACCATAATAAAATATATACTATAAACATAGACATAGTGTTAACGCACAACAAAATTTATCATCTCAGAACTCAAGAAGGTCAAAATATGGAAAACGGTTCCAGGGGCAAGGTTAGAAGCAGAATGAAAATTGATAAAAAAAAACTAAAACGTTGTCAATCACAAATGTGATATACTAAAAATAGATTATAAATGGCACTGCTTTGAAAATGCTTCCCAATGAATGGACGCTATAAGCAAAATTGCTTTAAATTTTGGGTGGTTATTCAGTATTAAGCAAGGTATACATATGATCCAGTATTAAGCAAGGTATACATAGCATAACAAATCCATGTTCGCTTTCTATACAAATAGCCAGATAAGCGTTTTAAGTACGACATCATTCTCATTATAAGACGGAAAAGCTTGTTGCTACTGAACAAGTGTTTTGTATGGGATATCCTGTAGAAATCCATATCATCATGGAGACACAACTGGCAGGACGATAAAAAGTTCTTGTTTTGAGTTGCATGCATGGGTCCGGTCACTCAAGTCCACCGGACAATACAGTTCAACTTCGAGAAGGTTACATAACATATACATATATGCAGAGTCATACGAGTACATAAAATCATGAGTTGCATTTTGCTGCGATGCCCACGATACGCCCTCAGTTGAGAAACGTAACTAAACAAATATCTAACCACTGTTTTATAGGCAAATGCTGCAAACTAATGTAAAAGGAAGTTGATATAGACAATTTAGCGAATCTAAATAAAGGCATGCAGCGAAATTATATTAATTAATAAACTTGGTTGCCGTTTCCATATACAGTATTTTTATTCTATTTTGGTTGCCAATGTATAACAAGTAGTTGCATGGAATTGGCAACGAGTTAGAAAAATTACATTTAAGCCTTCTCTAATTGCCACCACGAAAGCATGAGCATATGCCCGCGAAGCATAAGGCTAGAGATCTAGATCAAACGTAAATGTATATATAATATAATATATATATTTTAAGTACGACATCATCGATATATATATATATATATATATATATATATATATATATATATATATATATATATATATATATATAATGCCAATATAAATCAAATCGAACTCCATGTATGCATGCAGAAATATTGAAGTTCAAACTCTCTGGTTTATCACAGTCAGTTCTAAATAATTCTCGCAGGGAATAGGAAATGTGTTACGTAATCATGTTCATAAGCAAAGTACGTAATATAGGATGAGGATAGTGGTTTTTATAAGCTTGCTTAAATTGGCCGTTAAATGGAATAACGCAGATTAAACTTTAGTACATATAAAAGTTAAAGTTTCCTTTTTTATTAATTATGCGATTCTAAACACCAGACAGGTCAACGCATGCTGTTGTTGCCGCTGGACATGATATTGCAATATTGCATTGTATGGAGGACTTGCTATACGTGGGTGTTATTAAAACTGCGATTATATGAATAACAGCAAACCCAATCCCGGTTGACATACGCGTTCGTGAATGTTTAAAGTGGGATTAGGCCTCATACATTGATCACTTACTGACTTAGCAAAAGACGAGTAAACAATGTATAGCTAGCTATCTAGTTGTATATAACAACAGTTACTTAACCACTTTCCTTAACCATTACCAACAGTTGATGCTAAGTAACAGTTATTGAAGGGAATATACTTGGTTGTTCCAAAAAGGAACAATCAATTCTTGATAATGATACTGTCATGGTGATTCTAATCGCTTAACAGACGTACATTAATGCATATATTAGTAAAAGTACATAATTACTTGTGCATTTCATATCCCTCTTATAATTAAGATATTGTCTATTTTTTACTAAAACTAATACTATTATAAAAGAGATTATTTCTACGGACAACTTGAAATATATTCCTATTAGCTATATGACGAAAGAGCGTTGAAACGTAACAATACATATTCGTATCGTAACAATATATATTCGTATATTAGCTCCAAGTCAACATTCAGCAAAATAACTTGAGGTTTGATGAGTGTTCGAACCGTGTTTTAACTTAAATAGAATACATGATAGTGTTGGCAAAGCCGATCAAGAACAGCTAACGAAGATCGCATGACTGTCAACTCTGATGCACTCTCGTCCTCGTTTGATCCAGACTATGCGATGTTAGCTAGTGCGAGATCTGCACGAAGTGGCCGATATTCCAATTAACTTTTCATGTGTCAAAACTTCATCATCGTTGCTCGTTCAATATTTGTGACAGACTGACACTCACAAGCAGGTAAGAGATCTTGCTTTGATCATGTGTCCCGTCCCACTTATATTCCACATTCAATTTTTTTTAAATAACCTATACGTTTGGCAAACCTTTATGCTAAATTTGATGAATTTGCACGTCTATCCGCAATACACGGCGCACGACAGAAACTCAAACTCATAAAACAAGGACAACATAGGCCTATATATGTACAGGTGGAGCATTGTATAATCACTTGAAATATCTTGTACAAAATTATTATGCTTTAGCTGGCATATATACATGATTCTATTTTGACCACATTTGGTGATTTGCTTCAAACTAGCTATTTCCATATCACAAATTGCCGTGCACACGCCAAGCGGAACGGAATAAGTAGCTCACAGTATCTCAACGGAAGATCATAATGTATATCATGTCTTTAATATCGACAGATTAATTATAAGACTGATTCAAGTGTAGCCATGCGAAGCTTAAATATCGAAAACATAAAAAACAGACTGGCAAACGAGATGCAATAGTCCTTTTATTTGAGTTGAAAGGATTAAGGATACACAATAACAAGGCAAATACCCTAAGGCAACACGATATACTGTAGCTATAAAGGCGTATCTGTATCAAATTCAGAATACGCTATCAGTAGTGATTCCACAAAATGCAATCATTGTAAAACTCTCGTAAAGTTTATAGCGTATGTTCGAACGTATACTTTTAATTAACAGGATTTTCCAATAGCCCTACGGCAGATATATTAATCGGCATGATACTAGGATAAAGACAGGCATAGTTGGTGTTTTGTATTTTGTACTATAATCCACACTTTAACGTTTATAGCAAGACATTTATTCACTTATTCTCCTAACACATCACATCATTTATGTATATAGTGACCAACATAAGACTACGATATAAATAAAACAAATTTCCAGTTAAATTTCATGATTGGTTTGTTCGAATAAATATTCTGCAGCCTAATTGCTGCCATCATGCATGCCGTGTGCATTATTGTTTTTCCCGGTTGGGAGCTATACGCGAATAATGAGCTATTTAAAAAAATATAAACATACCAAAAGCGAAGCGATAATGTTCGGCGATGAAACGACAATAGCCTAAAGGAGTATTTTCTTCGTCATCATCGTTGTTGTCATCATGTATGTTGCTATCAGCTGCTTTAATGCTCTCCTGGCTTTCCTCGGCCTTCTCGGCTTCGTCATTTTTATCACTCTCATAAATTTCATTCTCCTCATCATTTATATCAATAACTGCACCATTCTCGGTTTCTTGTGGCGCTACGACGTTCGTTTTGCCAAGTTCAATGTCTCCTGTCATCTTGAGACTTGTGTGGCTTTGTAGGTAATGTTGCTAGTGACTTGTATTCCGGCGGTTCCACAGTGTTTATGTGCAACTGCTCTTGAAAGCATATCCGTGACGTCATGCATACATACGTAATGACGTACTAATCCTTATTTCCATTGCCCTTCCCTTCTTTATGATGCGTAGGCCGTGTCTGTACTTTAGAATTTAGAAATAGCTATTTAGGTAATGCAAACACATTACATCATGGCGATCAATCGAAGCTTCGCCTTTTTATAAGGACGACTTTAATTCAAATACTCATTTGACCACTTCAAATTAAGTGTAATGTTTCATTCATTCGAAAATCGGTTTTAGTTCAAATTTTAAAAACAATTTCGTGTAGCTAGCAGTACATTAAGATACTCGAGAAAAATCAAGCACACTATTTGGCCAAAATAAAATTGAATAAAACAGGATTGAATTAACCGGCATATATTCAGCGAACTGTTGGGCAGACGTTTACCAAACAAGGATAAGCTTCGCGTATATCCACACTTCATAGATAACTTTGGGAATATATGCATATAATCTAAAATGTCATATTGGCTGATAATGGCTCTCACATTAAATTTTGATATAGAGACAGACAGAGATGAAGAAACAGATTTTATTTTACTGATTAATAATCTTTCGTGTTTGATTACGACCGGTCGGGGTTTTGGCTGGCATATATCTGTTGAGCCTACGTGCAATGTCAGTGGGTATCATGTAAACAAATCAAGGTGTTATATTTGGCTTCCAAACTTCCAAACAAGGTTACAAATATATATTAAATATTTTAGAGCCAAAATAATACCAACATTTACCACTTACACTATATATACAGTTCAGTTGTATTCGCATTCAATCCTGTTTTGTTTATTGCCAGCGTTTACTATGACTATAGACATCGACAATTCGGGATACAATAACTACATAGTAAGTGCTGTTTTTTGGGAAGATAATTTCCCTTCATAGCAATCCTGGAACATAAATTTGAAGTTTCAAAACTTTACTATCTACGTATAGTTACTATATTGCATTGTATCCATCTGACATGCTTCATAATTTTCACATCAAGGTACTGCAGGTTAAACTTGTAACTTGCATATATAGCTACATATTGACATAATGTTGCACGTAAATTGTATGCATGAAATTCTAAATTAATAATAGAGTAAGGTATAGTTATATACAGACTAATGGAAAGAATCAACATTCCTACCAGCTTTTTGGCAAGCCAGTGTTGCGCCAAGTAACGTAAATAATGACGTAATTTGCGGAAATGTGGGCGTAATATTATAATGATTGATTAATATCGTCATAGTCCTCAAAAGCAATTGTGGAATCCGGTGTGAAATCATTACTTACGTACTTACGTATACTTGGTCCTAATTTTGGTAAAAATACTAAAATATAACAAAGAGAAAAATTAATACATCTGGGAATCCCTGCATGATATGAACAAAAATTCAATGGTTATATTTTGATCATATTACACACGGAGAGGCTTTATAGTTGAATATAGAAACGATTAATCTAAATGATCTTGAGCTATTCTGATCGATGTTAGGCTATTCATTTCTTGGTTACCTTAATGTTAGGCTGTTAGCATATTTATTACGTAATTGTAGCTTCCTGCATGATATTGAATACATCGGCATTTGAATTTTACATCATGCAATGCTCCGCATGTAAAGAGAGGAGGAATTCCTTCAGATCAAAAGTTAACACGGCTGAAACGTATTTATTCCTTGTACTTTCTTTTGTAGAGCTCCTCAAGGATTTTGAATGTTATTTGAATGAACAGTTTCTAGTCACGTTTTAGGTAGATGTATACCGCAAGGCAATTTGTTTAGTGCATGTTGATATCACCGTACACAGAAAGTCAGAGTGATCGGTCTCGACTGTTTCAGCGACGAGAATTTAATATAAAGGTGATATAAAAGCTATATTTCGTATTTACAAGTGAGCGAGAGGTCAGGACTGTAGGATATTAGTCAAGTTCTTTTTTTTTTCGTTTTAAACAATTTTTGACAAAGATAAAAAGACAACAACATATTTCAGATATTAAATAACTTCCTACTGTACACGTATTAATGGACCAATCCTCAATTAACCAAAATTTTGATCTCAACAAGTCTAGACAAAATTCCATCACAGCATGAAAAAGCATCACAAAATTAGTAATATTCGAAAGTTTCGTTGCGAAATGTTGTAAAATGCGGATAATATAGGTTATAGCCTTGCGAAATTTGCAATTTTCCGTCATTTTGTATATTACGAGCGGGAAACGATTACCACTTTTCCAAAATTTTGATCTCAACTAGCCTAAACAAAAATTTCATAACAGCTTGAAAAAGCATCACAAAATTAGTAATATTCCAAAATTTTGTTGCAAAATGTTATAAAATGCGGATAATATAGCCTTGCTAAGTTTGTAATTTTCAGTCTTTTTTGTATTTCGCACGAAAGTTCCATTTCCCGTTTGTAATACAAAATGACTGAAAATTGCAAATTTTGCAAGGCTATATTATCCGCATTTTACAACATTTCGCAACGAAACTTTGGAATATTGCTAATTTTGTGATGGTCTTTCAAACTGTGATGAAAATTTTGTCTAGAGTCAGTTGAGTTCAAAATTTTGATTAATATGGGATTGGTCCATTAATTATTATGTGGCAACTATATGTAATTATGGCAAGGCGTCCATTTGCAAAATGCACCATTTTGTTTGGATATTCAGTTTCGGTAACCTGCTTCTCGCGACCAAAAACTTAAATACCTCTTTTCTAGAAAAAGAGACTATAAATATCTCATCTTGATATTTTTTATTTAAAATAAGTACTTAATACTTGCCGTCAATGAACGGTATTATCTGCGAACTAAACAAACTAAAACTGATGTATTTTTGACTTGATACATTAATGCACGAGTATTTAAAAATGCTTGGGCAGTTGCGGGCAGGCAACTATATACTAACGTTTATTGTTACGAGAATTGGATGCAGTCACAACACTGGGTTTGGCAGGCTTCTATGCTGTACAAACGTGGGCTACGTGGGCAGTTACCAAGTGGGCGCCGCAGTATACAATTAATTGTTTATTGTTTAATGAAGATTTTAAAGTGAAAGCACTTGAATACTTTTCTCTAACGGTCATGGATTTACTACCCACGCACAGTATTGCGTACGTGAGACAACACAACAGCCTACCATTTGAGTAGCAGCTATGTATGACTATGCATGTATACAGTACTATATAGTATGATATATTACGGACCAATATAGAAACAAAATTTCAGATGATTATAGGTAGAAAGGTAAGGGAAGGTTTAATTCCAGTAAAACAAAACTGATGTATAAACAAAGTTTTAAAAATACAACGATATTAAGCCATTAAGGAGTGGTAACGCTAAATTAAATGGGGGAATTTTCAGCTAATTAAAAGAGAAGAGATTTCTACTCATTAAGTTTCCAACTGCAGTGCATATAATCATGTACTTGATTCTTAAATTAATAAGTTAATTGTTGTTCGTAATACAGGAATATAGTTAATTATTTTCTTTCATATTATTTTGACGAATATATTTAGTGAACTTGTATTAAGTGGGAGCTAACAAGGATGAGAGTTGATGAAAGTTGGCCGTCACGCATTGTTAGGAGGATATCAATTTCAACCTTTAGATCGAACAAAATAAAAGTTTGATATGTGTTTCAACTATAATTGTTTTAACTTGAACGAAATATATGATATAGTGTTGGCCGTTGGGAAACCATTAGAAACAGCTAACCAAGGTCGCGTGATTGTCATCTCTGATTGATCGTATAGTGCATTCTCATCTTCATTTGATATCCGGCCTATATATCCTGCTATGCGACAGAATGCGCGAGGAAGGATATTATCGGCGACGTACAGCGGATAGTGCCCTGGGGGATACATTTTTTTTGGGGGTGGGGGCAGTACCTACTGTGACACCGCCAGTAAGTAATCAGACTCTGCCCGGGCCAGTCTGAAGTCATGCATGGTCCCAGTTATGGAACTATTCTTATCTTATGGCCATAAGCATTGTAATAGGAAAGGTTCTACCAGAATCAATCTGAAAATTCAGTAAAGCGTAATCAGGTTTGCCATAACGTATTTCTGGACCTACGTGTACGTGATAAGTACTTGACATGAATAATTGAAGAGAAGGGGACGTCTGAAAACTAAATCTACAGTTAAAAACAAACATATAGTTCTGTTTTGAGATGTTTTGAAGAGTTGGCTTTAGTAAAGGTATGTTTTTAAATTACAGTAGTGAGTCTAAAAACCCATTAGAGAAGAGAAATCCCAATACTCTGTGTTGCGCAAAACACAAGCATGAAAATATACGCCATTATACTGTAATCTGTATATTTGCGAGAGAAGCTGCTTAATTATTATGCGAAAACAACGCTCGAACTTTTGCTACACTGTGTAAATATTTTGTGAAATGGCAAATAAACGCCACTCCATGTTGACTAAGCGTAGGTTGATGGTGATCGTGATGTTGAAATAAATCCGGACGTGACTGTATCACTGTGTGGGAAAGCAGTCCAGAATTGTTGACCTTTACAGGCAACAGAAACAATCCTAAATATCTGTATTTAAGCCGAAGAAATGGTAGTCAATTAGAAACCGAGGAGTTCAACGGGAATATTGGGACGAGAGAATTAAGCGTCCACTGTTTATGAATACTGACCCTAATCCTTAGAGTTTATCCATTGGTCGAGTGTCGTGTACCGAGGGTCAACATTCGAGGGTATAAAATGTCGAGGGCGAGGGTAAAATGTCGAGAGGCAAAATACCGCAAAAGTTCAGGTAACCGCGCTGAGATGTACAAAGATATACATGAAACCTGAATTTAGCGTTTTTATTGCGTCTTTTCCTCATCAGCTGTTCATTAATTAATTTTATAATAACAGATCACAATTCATTTATGAATTACGCATAAAATAAAAGGAGCTATAAAAAATAATTGCTTAGTAAGTGAGGTTACATGGTAACCAAGGTTAATATCATAACACCGCCCGCAGTTTGGGCAGAACGTAT